GTTTATAAATTTTATACGCCATTACATTATGTTAATAATAATTTTATTATTACCAAAAATATATAAAATAATGATCTGTTATATTCAATTATTAATTTGAAGTAACTAATAGTACAACAACAGTATAATTTCACTAGTAATTAATAGTAATATACAAAAAAATTGTACTATCTATATACCATATAACTTAAATCGTTTTTCTTAATGCAACTTCAATTATCTTTCTATTTTGAATCATCGGATATCTGTATCTACTGGATCAACTAATAGGGGTTAGCGCCGCATAGGATTTATCAATATATTATATACCTAAAAAAGAATTTTTTTTACCTAGCTACACAATGTAATTATCTGGGTGAAGGTATATGTGCCCCGTCACTATTTATTAAGAGAAATCACTAGATCGATATCTAATTAAGGCGTGGGATGTAGGGTTGTTCACGGTTTGACGGAAAATCGATCCAAATCGAAAACCAAACCAAACCGATATTTTTTTTGATTTGGATTGGTTTTGATTTTAAATTTTAAAAACCGATAATATTTGGTTTGGTTTTGGTTCTATTATAAAAAATCGAAAATTAAACCGAACCAAACCGATTAATTATATACAAAATTTAATAATTATTTATATGCAATATAATATCTTTTTCTAAATAATTTTACATATTTATGCAATTTAATTGTTATATTGAATTTTGGTTTATCCTACTTATATCTTAAAAGATTGCCTAAGCCCAAAACAATAGGAATCAGCCAATTTTCTTTTCCTTAAGAGACTTTAATTCTCTAACTCTCCGCACATACTTTTGCCTAACAGAAGAGTTAAAAAAAATTATACCATAAGAGTAAAGAAAGCAAACTCAAATTGCAGGACTACAATGGCTAAAGCTTGAGAAAGCAAACTTTTAGTTGTTTTTTTGTTCATTCTTTTCATATAAAGAGGTAAATAAACTTTCAGTTCCTAAAGAAATATATAAAAAATATAAATTTAGCAAATTATTTTCAGATTATTGTCTAGTGTTGTTTCACTATTATCGACGTATTATTAGCTTACTACGAACCGAAAAACCGAACCAAACCGATCCAAACCAAACCAATGGCAACCAAACAGATGGTTTGTATTTAATTTAGTTTAATTTTGGTTTTAAAATTTTAAAAACCGACTAAATTGATTTGGTTTTAGTTTTAATCAAAAACCGATCAAACCGAACCGTGAACACCCCTAGTGGGATGTCATCTATCCCACAATGTTCGTGGTAACTTCCCACCCACTTTTAACAAAATCTCCATACCTATCTATCTTTTTAGAGAAAAAAGAAACTTAAATGTTAGACGTCTTGACCAATATTGGTTCTATGCTTTCTTTTCTCGGTTATTTCGACCTCACAACCTAACTACTTCCTCGGTTTCAATTTAAATGATATACTTTTTGTATTAGTCAGTTTCAAAAAGAATGATATATTTTTTCAATTGAAAATAATTTAACTTTAAACTCTTCATTTTACCTATTTTACCCTTAATGAGAAGCTTCTATAACCACACAAATATCATAGTCTCATAAAGTTTTTACCCCTTAAGTTTTTAAGACCACAAATTTTAAAAATCATTTTTTTTCTTCTTAAACTCCGTGCCGAATAAAACTAACTCATCTAAATTGAAACAGAGAAAATATTAGAAGAGAACGACTAAAATATCCTCACTAATATTCCATATTTGGTCTCACTGCCAACCTTTTGTACAGTGATACCCTAAATTCATCTTATCTTTTGCTTTGATATGAACAATTATTTAGGAAATGCCATCTATCTCATATTATATAACATTGTTATTATCTTGTATTAGGAGCGTACACAGAAAATTTTATAAGCGGTGTCGAAATTTATAGAAGAATTGGAATATAACTTTGTGTATCATATTTTTAAACAAGAAATAGTCTTAGTCTATTGGCTTTGTTGAGTATTAAATAACTTTTGACCTCTTATAGGAAAATCAAGCACCTAATCATCACACCAAGATACAATTTATATCAAGTGGTGTTATTTTTTCCTACTTATCTATTTTCGTACAGTATTAATAAATATATTGAGTAAAATTTTCCAACGAAACGATATCGTGTGACACCACTTCGACAAGCGTGCATCTGCCCCTGTCTGGTATACAAAATCCTTTGATCATTATTATTATTATTATTATTAATATTCTGTAAATATTTTCAATTATGAAATTGTGAGTTATAGTATTGTTCGTGAAGTTCTTTCACATGCAAATATTGAGAACCCGATGTTTGGACTAACATTGAAAAACAAATAATTTAATTCTCGTACTCCTAATGTTGTCGTTTTTCAACCAAAAGAGTATAAGTAATGTGAAAAATTAGTACCATCTCTTGAAGTGGCAATATGTGTTTTCCGATCAGTACTTTTGAGAATGAATTATGATTTTTTATGGAGTAACTTTTTTTTAAAAAAAAAATTAGAAAAGTTAAAATTCTTAGGCCTTCACTAGATATTAAGTGTATTAGTTGACGCAAAACTCATAAATCAGACAAGAGACTGTTTAGCTTAGCTGATTTAGAGTAGCTGATAAGCATTAGGTGCTGAAAAGTACTTTAACTGTTGAAGCTGATTTAAAAAATAAGCAGTTACGTGTTTGGATAAAAGTGTTGAAATAAATAATAAGAAGCTGAATAATTAGGTATATGAAGAATTTTGTTTTAAAAAAAGTATTTTAGGGATAGAATAATAAATATTTTAGTTAAACCTAAAGTGTTTATAAGCTGAAATTTGATAAGTTGGGGGAGACCAACTTATGGCTTTTGGCTTATTTTTGGCTTATAAGCACTTTTAATTTTACCAAACGTGTAGATAAGCCAAAAAGCGTATATAAGCCAATTTGACCAGCTTATAAGCTCGGCCAAACACCCTCACAGTAACATACTAACATTGTTCATCCACTCATGATATACTGTTGTGCAGGTACATGATAATTCCTATGCCCTATTAGTAACGACTGAGAGCACCACAGACAACGTATACAAAGGCAATGACCGGTCAAAATTGTTAAGCAATTGCGTATTTCGTGTTGGTGCGGTCGCCCTTCTCCTCTCCAACAAACCGTCCGATCAGAATACCTGCAAGTATGAGCTCGTCCACACCGTCCGATCTCAAACAGCAAACACCGATCGCTCCTACAACTGTATTTTCATGGAAGAAGATGAACAAGGACACCGAGGAATCTCGATTAACAAAGATCTCTTGTACGCAGCTATGAAAACCATTCGATCAAACATATCCACTGTAGCTCCCCTAGTCCTTCCTCTATCTGAGCAATTCCGTTACTTGATGAATATTATAGTGCGGCGCTTTCGCACGGGAAGTAAAATGGAGCCTTATAATCTTGAGTTCTCCAGAGCAATCGATCACTTCTTCCCACACGTCGGCGGGAAACCAGTGTTGGATGATTTGCAGAAGAAACTGGGATTTAGCGATGAACAAATGGAAGCTTCTAGAATGACATTATACAGATTTGGTAACACTTCCAACAGTTCGATTTGGTATGAAGTGGCTTATGTGGAGGCGAAAGGTAGGGTGAAAAAGGGAGACACATTGTGGCAGATTGCATTCGGGTCGGGTTTCAAATGTAGCAGTGTGATTTGGCGGGCGACCCGATCCATTGATCGCGACGAGATGAATCCATGGCGCGATGAAATTGATGAGTTCCCCGTAGATGTTAGCAAGATCGGAGCACTCTCAGACCTATTCGTTGCTTCCAAGTAGGAAAAATGCATCTTAATCTCTAAAACCATTGTTTGGATGGTTGTTATGTATCGATTCGTATTGTATCGTATGATATTATATTTTATTGTATTATATCGTTTTGATATACACAATATCAAATAAAGAATAACATTATTCTTTATATATTAAAAAAGTAGGGTAAAAGATGAAATAGAATTATTTAATAAATAAAGAAAGGCAAAATGAGAGAAAAAAATATGATAACAACGCGACCACATCTAATCCATCTTACATAAAGTGCCACTTTTCGCCGTTACGTAATAACGGATTTAATGAAATGATATACTAAAATTTAAGTAACAATCAAAATAAATATTTTATTTAAAGTAACAATACAATACAATAGATAACAACCATCTAAACAAGCTGGCGAGCTATTCTTTTTCCCTCTCCAATTTTTTGTATGTCAAATTTTAATAGACCAAATAAAAACTTGATACAAGCCGGATGAGCACGCTTAATAAGGATGATTTCCTAGTCAATATCATATCATTAGAGTGCTTTAAAAAGAGTCAAGATCAAGAAGGCTGTCACGATCCTACATCCTCAAAACTCCATCATCTCCAACTGTAACATGCTTGGCACCACCGTACCACACTGTGTCCCTAAGGACAAGAAATAAGGGTCATCATACTGCCGATCTCTAATACGCTCCAATAATGAAGACCGAGTGACCGTGCAAGCTAGAACACGACTGGGCTCAGAAACATCTAACCTTACGAACTGATTGGCCAAAGATTGAACATCAAAAGCAAGCGGTCTCTCACCGACTGGAATATATGCAAGGCTGCCCATACTAGCCGACTTCCTACTCAAAGCATCGGCCACTATATTGGCCTTCCCGGGATGATACAAGATGGTGATATCATAGTCCTTCAGTAGCTCCAACCACCTCATGTGCCTCAAATTTAGCTTCTTCTGCTTGAACAAGTATTGCAAACTCTTATGATCCGTGAACACCTCACACGACACGCCATATAGATAATGCCTCCAAATCTTCAGCGCGTGGATAATGGCTCCTAGCTCCAAATCATGAACTGGATAGTTCTTCTCGTGAATCTTCAACTTCCGCAAAGCATATGCAATAACCTTGTCATTCTGCATCAACACCGCACCAAGCCCAATATGAGATGCGTCACAATACACTATATATAGCCCTGAACCTGTGGCCAACACCAACACCGGTGTCGTAGTCAAAGCTGTCTTGAGTTTCTGAAAGCTGCCTCACACTCGTCTGACCACCTGAACGAGGCACCCTTTTGGGTCAACCTGGTCATCGGGGCTGCTACAGATGAAAACCCCTCCACAAACTGACGGTAATAACCCGCCAAGCCCAAGAAACTCCGGATCTCTGTAACTGATGTGGGTCTATGCTAGTCCTTGACTGCCTCAATCTTCTTAGGATCCACCTGAATACCCTCTGCTGATACAATTTGATCCAAGAATGCAACTAAACTCAACCAAAACTCACACTTCGAAAACTTAGCATATAACCGACTGTCTCTCAGAGTCTAAAGAATGACTTGAAGATGCTGCTCATGCTCCACTCGGCTATGGGAATAGATCAAGATATCATCAATGAGAACAATCACAAAGGAATCCAGATAAGGCCTGAACACTCGGTTCATCAAATCCATAAATGTTGTTGGGGCATTTGTCAACCCAAATGACATCACTAAGAACTCATAATGCTTGTACCGAGTCCGAAAAGTTGTCTTAGAGACATCAGATGCCCTAATCCTCAACTAATAGTAGCCAGACCTCAAATCAATCTTCGAAAAACTTTGGCACCCTGTAGATTATCAATTAAATCATCAATCCTCAGCAATGGATACTTGTTCTTGATGGTGACTTTGTTCAACTGTCGATAGTCTATGGACATCCTCATCGACCAATCTTTCTTCTTAATAAACAACACCGACACCCCAGGGCGAGAAAATAGGTCTAATAAAGCCCTTATCAAGTAAATCTTGTAACTGTTCCTTCAAGTTTTTCAACTCTGGCGGGGCCATGCGATACACGAAATAGAAATGGGCTGAGTGCCCGGAGCCAAATTAATACAAAAGTCAATATCCCTGTCGGGTGGCATCCTTGGCAGGTCTGCAGGAAATACCTCTGGAAACTCACGAACAACTGGTACGGAATCCATGGAAGGAACCTCTGCACTGGAATCACGAACATAAGCCAAATAAGTCAAACACCCCTTCTCGACCATTCACCGAGCCTTCATATAAGAAATGACCCTAATGGTAGAATGACCAAGAGTCCCTCCCCACTCCAATCGAGGCAACCCCGACAAGGCTAAGATCACAGTCTTGGTGTGACAGTCCAATATGGCATGATAAGATGACAACCAATCCATCCCCAAAATGACATCAAAATCCACCATATCAAGAAGTAGGAGATCTATAGAGTCTCAAGGCCCACAATAATAACAACACACGAGCGATAGACACGATCTACAATAATAAAATCACCCACCGGTGTGGACACATATACAGGAGCACTCAAAGAATCACAAGGCACAACCAAATACGTAGCAAAATAAGATGACGCATAGGAGTATGTAGACCCTGGATCAAATAGAACTGAAGCATCTCTACTACAAACTTAAACTGTACCTGTGATAACGGCATCAGATGCCTCAGCCTCAGGCCTGGCTGGAAAAGCATAACATCAGGGCTGAGCCCCACCACTCTAAACTACATCCCTAGGACGGCCTCATGTTGGTTGGCCTCCACCTCTAGCGGCTTGACCTCCACCTCTAATACATTGACCTCCACCTCTAGCTGTCTGACCCCTACCTCTAGCTGGCTGAGCGGGCGGTGGAGCACCCGGTGCCTGAACCATGGGATGAGAACCCTGATGCTGAGAACCACTCGATGCTCGAGAGCAATACCTAGCAATGTGCCTTGGATAGCCACAAGTATAACAAAACCTCGGCTGTTGAGATTGCTGACCCTAAAACTGACCCTGACGGCCTGAGTAACCATCCTGAAAACTCTGGAGCGGAAGTGCACTAACAGGAGCTAGTGATGCACTGTAGGGTAGCTGATCAGAATACTGCATATGAGAACCATAACCACCTGAAGCACCGTGAGAAGCCTGAAGTGCTGAATGAAATGGCCTGGAAGGATGGCCCCTACTAAAAGAATCCCTGCCTCTAGATGAGGCACCACTGAACCTACCAGAATGACGAGGCCTCTTGTCAGACCCCTGACTGCTCCCCTGAGCTAGAACAATCTCAACCCGCCTGGCCACATTGGTCGTATCCTGGAAAGAAATTCCGCTCCCTGTCTCCTTAGCCATATGCAATCTGATAGGCTGAGCGAGTCCCTTAATGAGCCTCCTTACTCTTTCTCTCTCTCTCTTAGTGGGGAGTGTAAGAAGAGCATGACTAGCCAAATCAAGAAACTTAGTCTCGTACTAGGTGACAGTCATAGAACCCTGCTGAAGATGCTAGAACCGCCTGCGGTAGTTCTCTCTCTGAGTGATAGGAAAGAACTTCTCCAGAAATAACTGAGAGAACTAGTCCTAAGTCAGGCGACCCAACTGGTCTAGTCAACATAAAATTATTCCACCATCTCTTGGCAGACCCTATCATCTGGAATACAGCAAAGTCGACCCCATTGGTCTCTACTATCCCCATGTTTCGCAACACCTCATGGCAGCGGTCAAGATAATCCTAGGGGTCCTCAGATGCTTCCCCACTGTAATGAACCGGGAAAAGCTTGGTAAACTTATCCAACCTCAACAAAGCCTCAGAAGACATAGATGATCCATTATCGGCTTGAGCCACAACAACTGGCTGAGCTACTCCCACTGGCTGAGTTGCTGGAGCCTGGAACTGAGGAGCCATTTGCTTCGGGGTATAGGTAGAGGCAGTCTAAGCTCCTCCCCCAGCTTGAGAGACGGCTGGTGCTATAGGGAATATGCCAGTCTGAGTTACACTCTCCATAAGGCCCACTAGACAGACCAAAGCATCTTGAAGTACCGGGGTAGCGATGAACCCCTCGAGAACCTGAGCTGGCCCTGCTGGAACAGTCTGAGCTGGAACCTCATCATCAAACTCCACTTGAGGCTCCGTTGCTGGTACAACTACTCGATCTCTAGGCTAAGCCCTGCTCTTGCCTAGGCCTCTAGCACGACCTCAGCCTCATCCTCTACCCCTCGTATGAGCTGCCACTGAGGGCTCGGGCTGTTGATCAGCTGATGAAGCGGTACGTGTTCTTACCATCTGCGAAAGAATAGAGTAGAAATTTAATTAGCATTGAGAAGTCAAATCGCACGACAGAGAAGAATAAATATGAAGTTATTCCTAAGCTCTATAGCCTCTGAGGGATAAGCACAGACGTCTCCATACCGATCCCTCAGACTCTACCTAGCTTCTTCGTGAATTGTGGGACCTAGACAACCTCGTGCTCTGATACCAACATGTCACGACCCGGATTTCCTACCGTTAGTGTCGTGATGGCGTCTAGCTCTTGAATGCTAGGCAAGCCAACAGTTACGGTTCTAACACATTAATCATTTACCCAAAACTGTATTAAATAATAATTAAAGCTAAACAGATATAAGTGCAAAAATTTTTATAACAGTTCAAAACTCTAAAACACGATAGTGATATGGTGTGTCAATCCACAAAATGTGATGACCCGAAAGGTCATCTCTTATTTTAGAAGTCAAATCTGTATTCTAAGGCCTTAAAACCTTCTTTTATCTTACCTCGATTTGCATGCGCAGTCCGAATGTATATCCGGAAAGTCCTTATGTGAAAATTTGAGAACAATGCTAAATTTTGCCTTTAAAATTGAATTTATGGACTTCAGTCAATATTTTGGGTAAACGGATCCGGACATGTGATTTGACGGTCACAGAGGGTCTATAGAAAAATATATGACTTGGGCGTATGCTCAGAATTGAATTTCGAGGTCCCTAGCCCGAGAAATAAATTTTGAAGAAAATTTTTTAACTAAAAA